TGGGCTGATGCCTCGCTGCTGGGAGATAGGCAGAGGAAGAGACAGCGCACATTCACACTTACACTCACAAACACACAACACGACAAGGCATGCAAAGACATAAATGCATACTGTATCATGCAAGGGGGCATAATTAGATGGGCCGACAGAAGAGCCCTTACATTGTAAAAACATTTTCAAGAACATATTGTTAAATCTCTGTTTTACACAGATCTCTGTCTCTGTCACTCATGAAGTAACTGTTTCAGTTTAACGTTTACCTAACATAACTGAGATTTCATTGCAATAATGACTGTGTAACTGACCATGTCTGAAATATGCAACAGGTGTCTCAAATCAAACCTTTCACAGCTGTTCTTCAACAGCACTTTTCTGTGGATTTTCTACCTTTAAGTTGATAAGGAGTACAGTCTACAAAATGCCTCAGGATGCAACTGGATAGACCTACAGCCAACCAAACGTATGTAGCCTAGCCAATTAAACTTACCAAATCAAGTTATTAGTACGGTACAAAAAGCTTTAACTGCAGTTGTTTGTTCTTTTTTCGATTAGTACTGACGCAATAGCAGATTAAACAGAAAAAGTTCAGCGAGAGTCATCGTATAAAACCCGCCCTATATGAAATAAATGGTTGTCAGATCCAGGACTGGTGGAAATCTATCTGAATGGGAGGGGGACCAGTCACATCTGCCAGACCAAATAAAACATGAGCTCGCAGATCCGTCTGGTTCCCAGGCTACTGTCACTCCACTTCTGAAAGAAAAAGTGTAGAACAATAAGATGTTGATGTCTTTGAGCTATCAAAACCTGAGTACTAATGTGAATAGAGATCTAAAAGATCACGGTTTTAAATCCTTGACATGGCGGTTTGCTTCTGTCTTGCTCTTTTGTGCTTTAGTGACTGTTGTAACAGAAGTGAAAGAGAAAAGTGAAAGAGATGTTGTATATGCAGGTGGGGTGAATTCTTAATACCAGTGTAAGTGAACTCTTTTTGTTGAACAGTGCTCTCTACCGCAGTTCTTTCAAGCTTCCTGATATTTGATTTGCATGAAGAAACCTGAGCATCAACTTTTTCTTTCCTATTATCCCTGCTGTGCTGCATCCTATTGCCCTTGCTGTAACCTACAGAAATGAATGGCAGTGCGCCGCCCACATCCAAGCTGTTATGTTAGTCCAATATAAGTCAAGGTTTTCTCTGGAGGTGCAGCCTTGGAAGCTCTCTGTAAGATCTGATTTTCACTTGCAAGCTAGCTTTTTCACTGAGTCAACCTTAACCCTTTCTGTGTACCTACAATATCTGAGATTAAAGCAGTTTAAAAAAAAACGTATTCTGTGTTTGACATTTAACTCTTATTTAAGGTGAAACAACTTACATCCTGTCTGAGAAATGTTTTCACATGCTACATAAATTACGCAAATTGGTACCATCTTTAAAATATTGTGCGGTTTTATTTTAGAGCTGTTTATTGGAAAGAATCTGGCAATACAATATACGTTGAAATACAGGGGCTACGATTCAATATATTGCAGTATACTGAAGGAAAACTACAAGGAACACATCACCATTTATGCAGAACAGTGGGATATTGTTTGTATTTATCACAGACCCTGTAACGTCCACCATCATAGCTCTCAGTTTAAGTTTACAACATTTTGCTGTCGAGCGGTTGGGGGTTTAAATACAAAACTTGTGTTTTTGAGGATCAATACAATATCACAAAACATAATACTGTGACAGAATGTTTTTTTTATATTTTCTTACACCCCTATTGTATTTAAGGTACTACATTTAATTTAGGTAGCAGTCTGTCTGACTTAAAATAAAAACTGTGTTTAGCATCGACAATTAAAACAACTTAAGAATGCCATATTAAACTTAATTCAGTAGTTCTAACAGCTGCACTGAGTCCTTACAGCTACTGTTTTTCATGAAAATACAGTGCAGTGTGTTCATATAGCAGGTAGTAGTATCACACAACCAGCCCAAGTAGCAATATTGTACATATGTTATTAAACTGGAATTTCAATTGGTGTCCTTATGGGAATCACAGTTTTTGCTAGACAAGCAAAATTACATTGGCAAAGAAGATCACACTGATAGAAAACAACAATTCAAGATAACCAAGTTGGAGCACTTCCTTGTTGATGAAACACATGAGATTGTTAGAATGAGCTGTAGGAGGAACAGCAGGTGGGATGTAAGCAGGAACACACAGCACTGTTCACCTCTCACTGTAGTAGCAGTCGGTAACCACAGGACATAAAAGGGCTGATATGATACAGGTTCCACATGTTTTTGGTTTGTTGTGTGTTGACATTGATAATAAACTCATTCAGAACCAGCTCCGAGGCAAACCAACGGTGTTTCTGTTTCATTTTATCCCCTCTCACCTTCTCTGTCTGCCCATTTCTAAGAATAAATACAAAACCCGAGCAGATGATCTCTCTTATGTTAATGCCTCTCCTGTCTACGGTACAGAACCCCCAGCAGGGAACCACACCATCCAGAGGAAACACTGCTGTCTAGATATAGTAAAGCTAGACAGTAAAGCCTCTTACGGACGACCAGAGCAGGATGGAGCAAAGTAAAATAAAATAGAAGGTTGGTGCATAGAGGAGAATGGGACAAAACAACAAAAGAGATTTTTTTTTTTAAGAGTAAAAACCCAGAAGCCTGTTAGCTTGTGATCCAGACATGGTGTTTTAAAAAAGAAAGATGGATATAAGGCTGTTAGTGTGAGTCATATCCAACACAGGGTCAGGAAGACTGCTCCAATAAAATCTGTTAGACTGCTGATTACCTAATCACACTGCACTGCATTCATCAGACATAATACCTAAAACCCACTGCAGTATTTAAAGTCACACACACTCTGATAAGTTAACTTCTGGGTTTGTCTTTGTTTCTAAAACAGCACAAAATATTAAGTGTACATGAAAAAAGTTTTGACAAATACTCTTTACATTTGGCCCCTACTTATGAATGTGCAGTTGACAGGATGAATTACCAATCTGCTATACAGGAAAGCTACTATAGATCTTACTGTATATATGATAATAATATGCAACCTGTGGACATGGAGTGTCTGGGGGTTCATTTCCCAGTGAGATTACTTTGCAATATTCTCTACACTGGCAGAACTGTGAGGCAATTTGAGTAAAAGCATCAACCAGGCAGCTTTGAATATGAGACTTAGAAAAGCAGCAGGAGGTGCTGATTGAATTTTATAAAAGTTTCCAATAAAGTTGTTTTTTCTGAGTATGAGACATAGTTTGTAATAGCTGCATGTTACTCTGAAAACACAAGTATAATCAAAATGAACTACTGGTAGCTAACCATGTCACAAGGAAAAGTGTTTATAGCTGTTCTGCACGGTCACACATGAAGAGGGAGCGGAAAGCCGTCCATCACGAGACAGGTGAGATGCGATGGTCATTTAAAACATGTCTTAGTGGCACCACCTGAAGCACACCCTCGACAAGACCGAGCTGCTCTTCCTTCCAGGGAAGGCATCTCCCTTCCATTAACTCTCCATTACCACTGAGAGCTCTGTGGTGTCCCTGGACCAGACAGGAAGCAACCTGGACGTGACACAGGATGACCATCTGTCCTTTGCTGTCAACACTGCTGGGACAACACACTCCCGCAGATTCATCCTCTACAACATCAGAAGGATACGTCCGTTCCTCACCCTGAGGGTAGCGTAGGTTCTGATCCAGGCTCTTCTCACCTGGCACCTGGACTATCTGACAAGCGTTTATGTAGAAGTATACTACTGCCTTCAATTCCCTCTACATTATGTTGTCGTGGCCTTGAAATACTGTTTGCTCCAATAAAATGCTTTATGCTTTGCAGAGTCTGGTCACGACAAGTGCTGTAGTTGCTGTTGGGTCAGATGTAAGTACTTGTTTTTCATCTTTAAAAGGGGACATATGTATTGAGATTGTTTCACAACCATTATGTTCAGTTCCAATAATATGTGTCAGGGTTTTAGTAGAAATTGGTATTTTTTGTTTCATTCTTGAAAGACTTTTTACAAGGTATTTGGGTTTCATCCGACAACTATGTGATATCATCAACTGAGCTACAGGGCAACAAACACAGCTCTATGCAGTTATCATAATGTCACATTGTTAGTTACTGTGATGTACTGAACATCTAAACAAGATACAAACTCCTACAGGCGGTTTTTCATTTAAAAAGATCAGACCATGTGATCCTGTGCTGGGTTCCATAAAAAACAGACCATATTACTTTTGTTACTTCTGTGAATCAGCCGGCCTTCTGCTATTGATATTACCATTAAATATAAGCTTAAATACTACAGTTCATATACATATACAACACGTATATGATTCGATTCGTTAAATTCAGACACCGTGTTGTCAGGCCAGGTCATACAGAACAACAAAGGTAACCTTTTGTGTCCGTATGAGACTTATTTTTAACATGTGGTTAAACATTGTGAACCTACTTTGTTAGGTTTAGCATCATTATTTGAGTTAAAGTAAATATGTGACTTTTAAGTCACAATGCCATAACTGCAGCTACAAGTCATGAACATAACATCATTATACACTCTTTTATAGCATAAATTCAAAAGAATCTCACTAAAACTATTTCTACCATCGTCTGCCACTGTGTGAAGTTTAAATTCTGCCGGAAAATGAGAGATAGATGAGAGTAGATGAAGAGAAAAGCAAAGTAGAAACTAGTCAGGCAGAAAGCACGAGGAGAGAGAGAGAGAGAAAGAGTGCAATGTATTTACATAAGTCTCCTTCACATTAAAAATGCAGTCAGAGATGTTGGCTATATAAATAACCCATTTCTTAACATCACCACAACAGAGAAAGACGGGAAGAAAGAGAATCGGGGATGTGGAAAGGAATAGACGGAATGGGGAAATCAACAGCTGAAGTTTAAGGGAAAAGAAAATGTTATTAGTCAAACAGTCTAAGAGAAGAAAGTTGAAGAGAAGAATCCTGTCACTCTCTCTTACCTTGACATTTGGCTTCCTTGTTGAGAATCCTCTGTACCATCCTGAAAGAAAACAAAAATATGAGTGACTAAGACGAGCAAACACAGATTCAGTGAATAGATGAAAATGAATGAATCAGCAGTTTTGACTGAATATGGAAGGCTTGAACATTTACAATGATCTTTGTTTGCATGGAGAGAAACTATTAAAATGAAGGTACCAGTGAATATAAACCAATGCAAAGCAAGAAGAAAACATTTAATACCTGATATTCCACCATGCATTGGAAAATGGTCAGCAATACTAAACTATAAAGTAAAGTCTCTGATTGATGATTGATGATTAAAGCAGCAACTTTCATGTTGTGTTAAGTTCTGGTGGCCCCTGTGCAGTAGTGTTTCCACCGTCTCGTCTCATTGATTTCAAGGGGAATCCGACCCGGTGCAAGGCATTAGGAATACTATATACTATATATCTACTCTCTGATGGTCTTGTTTGTTAATATAGGTCATACAAAGCCATCCGTTTTCCATTTAGACTGTTTCATAACTACAGCCCCATTATTTTAGGCTTATGTTTGCATTTTGACATCTATAAAAGTATGCTGAATTAGCTATCAGCAGTTCATGTTTCCAGTGACTCATGGACATACAGACAACTGTCACTGGATTACTTTAATACTGAGGAAATCGTAAAAATGTGATTATCCTCAGTTCTGGAGTAGTGAGGAGGGTCTTTTTACGTTTTAGGGACATTTATTTGTGACAGACATCTGAGATAACTTAAAAGTCATCTGTCACTGCTAGTCCAGAGTCAGAACCAGATCAGTGACATACAGGGAGCCGGGGTACACACTGCCCTTAACCTTGTGTGACCTGTAGTATAAAGCCACTTTGTAAGTGTGTGTGTGTGTGTGTGTGTGTCTGTGTGTGTGTGTGTGTGTGTGTGTGTGTGTGTGTGTGTGTGTGTGTGGGCAACTGTGCAGCTCTCAGAGAGCACAACAGTTCTTTCCACATGGACGGACATTCATTAGAGGCCTCTGCAGAGTAGAAGGCTGTCATGAAAGTTGACTTGACTTGAAGTAAAAACCTTGACAGCTGGAAATGACGTGTATCGAGGGACTACATATGTACAGGGACGCACCCAGACATCCTCTCAGACTGTGGAGACATCATTTATCTCAGTCCAAGTGGAAATAAAAAAGATTGTGTCTCTGGCTCTTGGAGACGTAAGGCTTGGATGACCACTGTCAGTGACAGAGTGAAGCAAAAGAGACATTTATTTATATCAAAATGATGCATATTATTACTTTGACCTTCTTAGACTATAACAGGGGGAACACGGCTAGAAAGTCAATTTATTATATTTTATCAGAGTTGATTCTGACGTTATCTGCATCAAAACAATGTCCATTGTGTGCTCTAACAAACACATTTTAAGATAGTTCTGTAAATAAAATGTTTAGATATCTCCTGAGAGACTGTAAAAAGGAAGTGACATCGTGAAACAGTGATAACTTTGAGTACTAATCATTACCCATTTCTGAAAAAACATTTAAAAAACTGTTCAACAAATACAAGTACTAACACTGCATCAGGATATTAACTCTCATCTTATCTTCTTGAAAAATCATGACATCCACTTCTCAGCAGTTCTACATAATCTGATATGAATATGGAGATGGAGGCTTAATTGGCCAGTTAATTAATAACCAATCAAGATTAATTTATCACCCTCGTTAAGATGGCTGTGTTTACTCCCTAGCCTCTCATCTATATGGAAATCAGACTGAGGCTGGACCAGCAGTGTCTAGGACTATTTGTAAGGGTTGAAATGAGGACATGTGTGTTTCTGTAGCTGACTGAGTTTACTGCATCTGTGAGAGATGAGAGAAGCACAAAAGAGGACAGAAAGACAGAGATAAAAACATTCATTTGTATGTGTGAGTGTGTATATGATTATTTTATTTTTGTGTAAGCAGAGATGAAGGAGCAGGTGTGTGGGACATGAATGTGCACGCAGGTGCATGTATGTGCCTAATTTGTCTGTTGTCATACAGCCTTTGTCTGAGGAAGAGTAATAATCTTGCCTCTTTTATCCAAACAGCTCACTTAAGTGGTTATTAGAATAATTATTTTGCACTGTTATCAAAATAATTCACAATAATAATCACTGTAAATCATCTCGAAGTGGGAGGCAGAACTCAAGGAGCCACTTTTGTTCAGTTAATGCAGGTTGAGAATAAAGTAATTATGAATACAGCATTATATAATAAATGCAGGTTTCCATCAAGCTATCAAATCAGTCAAATACGAGTCTTAAATGATGCTTCATATCCCTGCAGAGCACACCTCCAGCTAGTTCATAAAAAAGGAATTGCTTGTTGATGCAGTGATAGTACCCAAGAGGGCGTATTTCATTGTAATTACGGTTATGACAGTGATTCAAAAGAGGTGTGAACTGCAGCTGAGCCACCGAGCCACTGACTGTGAACACAGCATGCTCAGTTTATACAAAACTGCCAATGGACGGGTATTGATTGATTAGTTCAAAATCAATATACTGTGCAAACATTAATTAAAATCCGGCCAAGAAAGAAATTGATAAGTAACACCATGGTGACTTTATTAGTTGTCATAGCAACAACAAATATAGAATACTTAGGATACTTGATCAGCATCCACACTGCGTCTTTCTACCTTTTAGCTTCTTCTGGATATAAAACGGTTGGTTTTGGGAATAAAGAGCGTAGCTGATGGTTCTGACACGCATCACTGCTCGCTGCTTGCCTGGCCAATGTCTCGGAGTAGATGTCAGGGCACCACCTAAAGCTCAAACTGTACAAGACTGATCTTGTGTTCCTCCGGAGGAAAGGGTCATCTGACAGAGACCTGTCCATGACCATTGACAGCACCTTGGTAGTGCCAACTCGGACGGCACTGGGAGTGACCCTGGATGATTAACGACTCCGTCCTGCTTTCAAGCCATGGTCACATCCTGGCCCGAACACTACGCCACTCTGCCTCTGGACATTTAGCCATCCCATCACTCAGAAAGACCCTGTGGACGTAGTGGAGCTCCACACTGAAGTTAGAACAGCAGAGTCACTTCCCCTCTTCCACCGCAGGATAAAAAAAACACCTTTTCAGACTACATCTCAAACACACTTACAAGCACTTACTTATGTCTCATTTCTTTGCAAAAAACATTTCTAATCTCTTGTTTGTAGCACTGAGCTTGCTTTTAGTTATTTGTTTAAAATGGATACTTTGCCAGTTTAAAACAATATGCAGTTCTTGCTACCATGTGGTTTGAATGCACTTATTGTAACTTGCTTTGGACAAAAGCATATGCCCAATGAATGTAATACAATGGTTCCCTTTGTTCAGAGGGAACCACTCATTTCAGAACTGTTATACTTGATTATTTTTGTGTTTGGCTGGTGGCTAACCGCTACTGTCAAGTTGTAAACACAGTCTCAAACAATCGACTAATATATTGCAATTAAGCAGAAGCTTTGCAAAATATATTGGTTAGGTTAGCCGCACCCTCTTTTACTGCCACATTCATTACGTACAGTATCATGGGTACGCACAACTAATATGCACATTTATATATGTAATCACCCACTAACTGCAGTAAAATTACCACTAATGCACCACTGCAAGTAAAGCCTGCTTTTCCTACTCAGACTTATGATAAAAACAATATTGTATGAATGCAAGATAAGTCTAACAACTGTTGGTACAAACTTTTGGCATCTGTTGTTGTTTTTTGTATGTATAAAAAAACTAAATGGTCATGGAGCCACGGGCGTAGGACTGGGGGGGAAAGGGGCCCTCATGTAAACAGATACTAGAATGAATAGTCGTGGAAACAGCCTATGTACAGGGAACAGGTGATATCCTGATTGATTCTGTTATTCTAAAACATTCATTAAAATTGTGTAAAAAGAGGAACAATGAAAACATCATGTGCACCTGCAGACAGCAAACTGCTGCACTGCAGCAATAGTAGGATTGCTGTATATTCAGGTCTTTTTATGTTATTCCTAAGAATGGTTCCATGTCCAGACATAGGCATCTCCCATACTGCCTCCTTTGAAAAGTCCTAAATTAAATCTGCAACACATAATTCAAAATCAGTCTGAACTCACTGCAGAAGAATGAGTCATGGTGTTTTAAGTAGAAAAAAGAGCAAAAGAAAATATTGTTTCCTGTGTTATGCTCAACTAAATTAAAGAACAATATAGTTCTATGTTGAAACATAGAAATTCTCTTACAAAATGACTCATATTATCTACATCTAATATCAGGTTATCTATTGACAGCCTGGTGGTTTAATATTTAACTGTTATTTACCAACAGTGAGTTCTCTCCTGGACATCAACAACAGCAGCAATAAAGATTTGTTACAGGTGAAAAGCCTCTCCAAAATAATGAGAGTCTGTTCTGAGCTGAGACTATGGGCACTTCAGTAATGCTGACAGTACTAAGAGTCAAAATCTCATACTTTAAATTGCTGCTACTCCCATAATTGAAGTCTAATGCTTTCTCAAGTGTTATGACTGCACTCTATATTTTAAGAATGGAACTTGGGGATTGCATTCCTGCAGCCTGGCTTCCATCTCCATATCACTGTCATTATAGTCATTGAGTTTCTGTCTGGGGAGAATAATTTGGCATTAGTGCAGGCAGACAAGTGCTAGCCACAGTGCGAGAGGGCAGGGAAAGACAATTTGAGGGAAGATTTTCCTTGCATCTTGAACACTCAGTGTACCTTATGGATAGAAGCTCTGCAGTATTTCTGCAGCAGCTGAACGATGACGCATCCACTCAAAAGCACACACACACACACACACACACACACATACACACACTCCTAGGTGGTTTTCTAATGTTCATTGAGTGTGTAGAGATATAAAAGTTAAGAAAAAAGACAAAGGAAATAAAATGTATTGCTGATAACATTTCTGCATGACTGGAACATACAATATAGAACATATTTAAAACATTTAACTACTAATTACACAGACAAACATTGTCCCATAAATATCTGTTCTGCGCTACTAGCCGACCATTGCTTGCAGGGTATTTTCTAAAAATGCATTTGCATGTTCAGATAATGACAGAAGCTGGGGAAATCTTTAAATTACCTTGGGTATCTTGGACAAAAGTTAGCCCTGGCTTGCCCCGATAATCACTGTGTGTTAAAGGGAAAGCTGTGATGCCAGCCTATGCCACAAGGGCTCAGACAATAGCCCTTGTCCCTTGCTAGGAGGGTTTCATTTCATAACAAGAGCAAATTAGAGGCTGATTGGATGCCATGGAGTTAGTTCAGGGTTGAATATGAGGCTGGTCAATACAGGCAGACAATAAGAGGAAAAATGAAGAAGAGAAAGAGCGGAAGTGGAAAGGAAGGATAAAAGAATACAGTGAAGAGGACGGGGGATAAAGAAAAAGATGACTGGGGAGAGAAAGGGAAGAGGATTGTAGGAGATGACAACACAGGGGGAAGTGGAGGCCAGAAGAGAGAGAGGCAAAGTAAACCCATGTCGTTCTCTCTTTTCCCCCTCTCTCCCTCTCTCTTCCTCGTGGGCAGGTCCCTCCCCGGGTAAAGAAAGGCCCAATCAGCCCCTGGCACTGGATCGATGGTAGCGGCCTGCCCAGCTGGGGCTAATGAAGCACATACTCACTCATTATCTGCAAAAGACAACACTTCCTGGCTTCAACCACATCCTGGCTTGAGTTGCTAATTTCTGAGAGTCAAAGTAGGAATAACAATGGGAGTAACATCGGCTAATAACTTGGGCTCTCTTCCAGGCCCGCACTGGGCTATTACAGGCTCTTTGCACTCATTATTTTAGAGAACCGTGGATGCAGCAATGAGTACGTGTTTTACTTTGTTTGCATTTGTGACAACACAGCCAGAGCAGCATTACTGTGGGCAGTGGTCATCATTTTAATCTCCTGGATCAGCAGGATAAATCTGGGTGAGGAAAGTAAAAGGCAGCGCTCCCTCCCTCATTACCACTACTGAGGTGCTCTTGAGCAAGGCCCTTGACCCCAACTGCTCCAGTGGAGCTGCTCAGTGGCCAGCAGATCAGACTGGTTGTGCTGGGCAGCTGAATGTGTAATTGTGTGAATGTGATCAGGGCTTTCCTGAAAAATACAGCATTTATACCCCCCACAGTATAAAGACCCATATAGGCTCTTTATAATACGACTGGTGGGCGCCTGTCATAAATGGTTTCAAAATGAGTAGTGAGCAGTATTTGATGAGTTGTGAGTGAGACTGAGCTGATTGTTAACAACCATGTTTGCTAGCAGTATTTTATATATTGCTTTTGTTGGCACATTGCTACATTTCTTGGTAGAAAAAAATGTTTTGGTGGTAAAAAATAAATACAGAGATAATTTAGTATGATAAAGAGAGCCTTATGGGAGCAGGCATCTTAGTGAGGTTATCTGGTGGCATTTATAATTAAATGTGTTTTGTTTGTATGGAGGTCTATGACAGCCCTGAATAATCCTACACTTTCCCACAATGTTTTTAGTGAATACAATAGCCAAACTGAAAAGTAACCCTGCTTGCTTGAAACAGCTCTCTGAAGGGAATAAAGAGTGTGAATGTTCCAAGGAAGATCATTGAATACCTACATCAGTACCATAAGAACACCTTGGTGACATTAATTAATGTTAGTCACATTCACACTGTAGTCGTTTGAAAATATGATTACAGGCTCTCAGGAGCAGAGTTCTTATGGTTCTTAAGTCTGACAGTCAGGCGACAGGTTATAGCTTTGTTAACCTGTCTTAGTGTAGTTAATTTCTAGAAGCATAGGAAGAAAAATATTACAATGCAGAAAGCAATTCATAGCCATCTGTAGATATTACCAGCTCATTCTAAGGTAAGGCACAACAGTTCCTACATGCAGGTGATTATACACTAATGGAAACATGAATATATCTGCCAACCATAAAGCCTCCAAATGTTACATACTGGACCTTTAAAACTGTACACAGCACTACTGGTAACCAGTGGTTCCCAACTGGTCTAGCCTCAAGTCCCTTCTCTGATATTCATTCTTTATGACTGCAAATGTCTTTAAAGAAAACCTTTAGGACAGTAATCTCTAACTCTGGAGGATGTTTACAGGGATTGTTGTTGCTTTAGTGACGTTCCAGTTGCAACAATGAGCAAGGACATTATTGCTGTATCAAACATCCACCCCCACAGTATCTTGTGTACCTTTTCATCAGTCTTACCTTCACATTTTTCCAGAATCTGAACCGTCTCTCCCACCTCCAGAGCCAAACCCTGAGTCACTGAGCCCCGGAAGTTGCAGATGACTGTAGAGAAAGAGAGAGAGGAAGCTATGAGAAGGTGAAAATATGAAAAAATGAGACACTGTACCGAAATTTGTGGGAACATAGCGACTAAAAGAAAGAAAAGAGTCTGATTTCTTAATTGTAGGGCAGCAACTGTTTATTATCTATGAATTACTATCTTTTTTTTCAATAGCAGTTCATTAAGAGGCTCTCTTTTGTAGCCACACTTTCACACATGTTGTATGTATGCACAAGAATCCCTGTGTTCAGTAGCTCGTGTACAATGATTTTGTATGCAACAAATTCAATAAACAGTAGTAACAATAGCAACTTCACTTGTAAGCATAGTTCACAAACCACATGAATACCAAAGCTGTGCCCTCATCTGCTTTTATCCCTTCCACCGTCACTGTCTGCCTGTCCCGTGACAGCAGCATGACGTTAGCATCACAGCCTGACTGAACACATCCACAGTGCTTGCTGTACCAGGCAGGGTTGATGTGAATAATCCTCATGACTGCACCAGTGCACCCAGAAAACAACAGACCTCAGAGCTTTTTCTAGTGATGCAATCACTGTTAAGTCACTCTTTGCAGAAATAAGCTGTACAATTTCACCCTAACATTTATGATATGACCGACCCTTTTACACTTCTGTCTTGCTTTTCCTGACAAACAATGCTGGATTTTGGATTCTGGTTTCTGTAAATATGGCGTTGTGACTGGGAAAAAAAAATTCAACCCAAGCCTCGTTGTGAAGAGAAGCAAATTATGCATTTTTTTTCCTGAGCATCTCCACAGTGGCATCCCAGAGATGGTCAGTGTGTCAATGCAACAGGTAAACATCACCTGGGAATTCATTCATGCCCGATATTCAAAGTGCTGAGAGTAAAACTGTATTTTCTAACACAATAAAGTCATATATTCAAACGATTCAAAAAGTAATATGTGTATTGATATGCAATGTGAAAATTATATAAGGGAGAGAAAAAGGAAATATAAAGGATAAAAACTGAACATAAAAAAATATAAATATATGCAACAAAACAAAAGAGTGCAAGTGCATATGCAGGGCAGTGCAAAGAAAGGTAGAAACAAGGACAATCAGAGGTCTCTCTGTATTTGACTTGTAGTTATGGAGGCATATTGAGTGCAGATGTAATAATGCATATGAAACACAATGCTGCAATGCTTCTTTAAAGAGTATTCTGAAGATTGTTTCCCTTTAATGCTTCCCAGTTGTCCCAACAAAATATTAACCTGCATATTTCTTCTGACACCATTGAACTATTTGTAAGGATATAATCATCAGCAACTTCAGACTTTTTACATATAAAAAATGTATGTAAATTGGTTAGCAGGAAGTCAGAGATACAATTCTCGCCCAAAGGCAAACCAGCACTTTTCACTCTTCCGTAATGGTGTTCTTTTTTCGAAGCAGAAGTCTCGAAGAGGTGAGCTTGGGCCATGACAGCAGTCTGCTCTGAACGTAGAACAAGCAACAACAAAGGGCAAGATCTAAACTCTCAATCAGTCCTGTCTTTGGCTGTTTAACTAGCTTTTTCGATTAAGTCTCTGTGTTTGAAGACGTACAGCTGAGGTCACAGCAGTTTATTTCTGCTGTTACTTTCTCACTCAGTATGTGGCGAATCAACCTTGAAGACAAAGACAACTTTATGACCAAGATGTGGTCATACTCCTCATGACAGTCATTCTTTCTGTCATCAATGCCACTCTCTGTTTGTCACTGTCTCTATTTATAGTGTTTGGCTGTTATTGCAACTGTCAGTCTAATAGTTTGCAAATCCAGACAAATCCCCGGTATTATCAAAGTGTGATTTTTAGAACATGTCATTAGTATTCTCTTTGTCTCTGACTCTGATGTCTCTATCCTACCATACAGAGAGCAAACTCTAGCAAATGAAGCCTGAAAAAATGTCCAGATATATGATGTTGCAGTGACAACCTTTTGTCAGCCTTCTTTCTATATAATAATAACTTTATTAATAGTTGTATTATTCCTATCAGTATTTTGCCTGATCTTTTGAAGAACTACATATTTTAGCACGCTTTAGGGGGCAATAATTTTGGGACATTTCTTTAACTTTTTCTAAGAAAATAAATTATATAAACATACAAATCTGTGCACTGCTAAGCAAGATAGCATATTGTGCTTTAAATAGGATGAGATTTGGAAGGAAATTGGGGAGCTGTTGGTGCAAATTATCCTCCAACTATATAGAAGGTAACGTGTTTATATTTATTGACTGACAGAACATTCATACTGTGACAGCCTCTCTATACTATTTTGTTCTGTTAAAATCACAGAAGGGATTCACAGGAATTGATGCAATATGTAATCCAGCATTTTCATTTGCAGCTCTATCAAAGCTATTTAAGCTACTGCTAATGCGAGGACAAAATGTGCTATTGCTTCTGCTTCACATTAAAAGTGTTCAACTGGCACAACACAGGGTGCCTTTTATTGTGAAGCACTCACAGGAAACTATTGCAGATATATCAGTATTGTATCAGTGTATATGTTACAGATATGCATTGATATGAAAACTGTTTTTATTTCTGGGATATAATGCAGAAATAAATGCCTGTAGTAATATATTTCGGTCACAGCAAAGTTTATCCAGCAGAATGCGATTTACAATGCTGTGGCAAGCAGCACAGAGTAAGAGAGAATAAGCAGCTCTCAGCAGTGTCGACTAAAATTGGTTGACAATTTAACTTTATGTTAGATTATTTTACATGTTAAAGAACATTTAACTGAAATATTTTTAATATTCACTCAGAAATTCACAGTTTTATCCACCATATTGGTAATCTGTCAATTTTTCCTGTCTAAAATCAGTATTGGTATATGTCTCAAAAATCCAATATTGGTCAGGCTCTATAGAAAACATAATTTTTCTTAATTTAATTGAATTGTTTTTTGGGAGTGGATAGGTGCTCAAGGACTGTTTGATGTAGTATGAAACAACACTTAGCACCAGTAATCAATGCCACAACTCAACCAGGACAGAAATCTTAAGGATTATAACTTTAAGGAAACACTTTTACCTGCTTGTTGTGTAGGCACTGTATTGACACTGCGGTGCCACCTTAAGTATGCCACCCACGCGCACACACACACACACACACTCACACACAACAGATAAACGTAGCAATCTGTAGCTCGAGCTGCTGATTGCTGTCTGATGCTTCGGCAGGAAGGACACACACCTCACACCTCAAGGCGGCGAGATCGTTTGCATCTGTCTCTGTCTGCCATCGTCTCTCTGTCACTGTCACCATCTGCCTCAGTATCATCAGTGCCACTCTCTCTGTCTGTCATTGTCACCGTCTGTCTCTCTTTCATCGCCGTCACTCTCTCTCTGTCACTGTCATGCTCTGGGTCTCCATTATTAACGCCATTCAGTGCCAGATTGTCACCGTTTTGGATTCTGTCACTGACATCCTCTCTCTCTCTCTCTCTCTCTCTCTCTCTCTCTCTCTCTCTCTCTCTCTCTCTCTCATTTGTTCATTGTAACTTGCTATCATCACTGTCACTCTGTCATTGTCACTGGCCTTGTCAGTCTGTCAGCTGTTTGATGCACCTGTCAGGGACCTTGCCTGTTCTCACTCTGTATTGCTCTCTTGACTTGTTTGCTCGGACCAATTGCGATACAGAAATATAAATTACAACTTTGCCCGTGAGAGGAGGCAACTGGAGCAAGAGGGATGCAACCACAGAGTTCACGCTGAGTTCAAGAAGTAGAGGAAAATTCACCTGACATACCTGTGACAACCCAGAACTTCTCTTTTACTTTTCTGTTTGAGTTTAGCTTGTACACAGCAAAACATTTTAAGCTGGTTTTACTTAAATTATTACTTAATTTTATTTTATATTCCAAAAGTTAACAAAAGTTATCACAGGAAACACATTTAAAAATGGATGTTTCTCTGCCGCCTTAAACATGAGTTAAAAAAGTCGAATTATTAGTTTTATATATGTAAGTTAACATAAATTTTGAAAATGTAAAACCAACTGAGTTAAGTTAACTGAACCTGAGATAACAAGTTAAGTTTTTTCTTTGTTTGAAAAGTAATTTAATGAACTTCCAGCTGCTTCAAATAATCTTCTATTAGCCTTCAGTGTGTTTTGCATTGTTTCCATTATTACTTACAGTAACTTAACACATATATAGAAACACAACACGTTTCCATCAAGTTTTCTTGAAACTACAAAAAATACGCTGATCGTGTTTCTTTAAAAACTTAATTTGATGAGTCGAGTGAACTTTTAGCAGTACATTCATTTGACTCATCATTTCATCAAGTCAGAAGACTTCAAGTCAGACTAACTAATGTTTATAAGTCTCATTCGCCCACATTTTGACACAATTAATTGTTTTTATTGTCAGTTTCGTTTTTGTACATAGCTTTTTTACTACCAATAAATCATTTTCATTTTAACTTCAATCACTAACCAGACAATCTTATCGTGTCTGAACCTTCAGCTGGTTTTTAATGACACAGTAAGGTCAGACACCATCAGGTTCAAGCATGACTCCATCCTCTCACCTATTATCCAAAAGCACGTGTAAAGTCCAGTGTGTAATTGTGATCCAAGGACATTTATCCCACTGTGGCTATTTTGAACTTGTGTCTCGACTACAGAGAACAGCATGTGCCTCGCTCTGTCTTACAGTTGTGTGCAGTTTCTACAACTTCCACAACGAATTTATAGACCTTTTTCACAGCAGCCATTTCCACATGAAATAGTAGGGTAAACACCAATGATACTAATTAATTATACAAACAGAATCCATGTGCTGCTATTGCACACGTTGGCTCACTGGAAAAGCTCTGCTACACTAAATAGAACTAAACCTTAATTAGTGTCACTGGTAACACCTGTGTTTGCCCTACTATTTCATGTCAAAATGGCTGTGAAAAAGGTCTGTTGTATCCTGATGAGTGATTGAAAAGGTTCTGTGCTTTCTGAATCATAAAAGCATGATCTTAATG